AAGCGAGAAATCACCCCCCAGGGGGGATGGTCACGCCGCAATCCCTTCTCCTCCATTCTCCTCTCGGGATCTTGGGCACGCACGCACGCACACGCGCCCAGCGTGAGTTTTAAGCCACCGGGTCCGGGACACGAACCGCGGTCGACTACGTGGGAGTCCAGCAACATAGCCATTACGCTAACTGCTGGTTCCCTCTATCCTCTTCTCTTCATCCCCCCATTCCACACTGTCTTATTCTCCTTAAGTACTTTCACTGCTTTTATGTCCTCCATAAAACATGATATTTTTCTAATGAATTCAAAATTACTGAAATTGTAGTACTTCCTTTATGCAAGACATTGTACAGGGTCATTTTCATTTACTTCTCTGGTAATAGTCTATGAACTGAAGAGTAGGTTTATTTTCATCAGGTTTTATTTCTACAAGTGTACTTGTGCAAAGTACATGAATTATTCAGTTGGTTCTCAAAACTTGTATAATGCATACTCTATTACTGAAATAAACAATCAACATTTGTTATACAAAAAAAAACAACCTGAAAACATGCCACTCCCTTCTTAATACAATACCCAAGATTATCCTTCATATGAGAAGAAAAAACAAGAGTATTCTCAGATAAAGAAAATCTGAGAGAATTTACCAACACCAGGTCAGCTCTTCAAGAAGTTTTGAAGGGAGTGCTATACCAGGAAAACTAAAGTCGTACACACAGATATAGGAGTACAAAAAATTCCCCAAGAGAATGGCCAACTTAATGGTAGGGACAAATCTGGAAAGATCAATGATAACTTTGAATGTTAATTTCCAGAACTTAAACAGAAAGCTCAGACCATGGTAACACTGCAAATTCAACAGAAGAGGTTTTTTTTTTTTCTTTTTTAAAAAATATTTTATTCTCTTTTAATTTCTTTTATACATTCAATCAGTATTCACCACTTAGCTTGTAAAGTGAATTTTCAAACATGAATACATTTCATACCAGGCCAGTTGGGGATACTATATATGTTATCATCAACAGATAATCCATTTGTGTGTCCCATAAATGCCTTGCCTCTCTATTTTCCTCCTTAATGTCTTTCCTCACACTCTCCTCCTCCCATCCTCTTCCCACACTGTGTCAAGTATCTACAACCATGTTTCTATATCCTCTAATCTTTAAGTTTCAACCATAGAGTGCAGACAGTTGTATATATTAACTGATCCAATGCTATGCTTTGGGGTTTATTTCTGGGGTCATTATTCTGGGGTCTTATTTCTGGGGTCTTTATTCTGCTCCATCGGTCCACTTGTCTTTTTTTGGGCCCAATATATGCTTTTTTGATTATCACAGTTTTGTAATATATTTTGGGGTAAGAAAGAGAGATGTCTCCTACTCCACTCTTCTTGTCCAGGATTACTTTGGCAATATGGAGCCTTTTATGATTCCAGATAAATTTTATGATTGTCTTTTCTAAATCTGTGAAGAATGTCTCTGGTAATTTGATTTGTATTGCATCAAAGATGTAGATTAATTTGGGTAAAATTGCCATATTGATTATATTACATTTTCCAATCTAGGAATGAGGGATGTCTTTCCACTTTTTTGTGTCATTTTCTATTTCTTTTTTTTCTTTTTTTTTTTTTTTTAGCTTTTCATAATTTTTTTTTCCCCTAGAGGCCTTTGACTTTTTGACTAGACTTATTCCTAGGTATGTTATTTTTTTTGTAGTTGTGATAGATGGTATTACTTTCTTCAGTTCTACCTCAGTCTACTTATTTTCATATATAGAAATGCTATAGATTTTCATATTTAGAATTTGTATCCTACCACTTTACTGTATTCATTTATTACTTCCAGGAGCTTTTTTGTGAATATCCTGGGTCTTCTATGTATACAATCATGTCATCTACATATAGAGATAATTTAACCTCTTTATTCCTTATTTGAATGCTTTTTATTTTATTCTCTTTTCCGATTGCACTGACTAGGACTTTCAGCATTATATTCAAAAGGAGTGGAGAAAGTAGACAGTCTTAGGGGCATCAGTTTTTAGTGAAAAAGTTTTCAGGTTTTTTCCCATTCAGTAAATAGGTTTTATGGTGTTGAGAAATGACAATTCTATGCCAATTTTGCTGTCAGTCTTAATTATGAAGTGATGTTGAATTTTATAAAACATTTTTCTGCAACAATTAGCATGATTATATGGTTTTATATTTTTCTTTCTGTTAATATGCTGTGTTATGTTTATGGTTTTGTATATGTTGAATCACCATAGCATCTCTGGAATAAAGCCCATATGGTTGTGATGTATAATCTTTTTTATATGTTGTTGGGTACGATTTGCTAGTATCTTGTTTAGAATTTTTGCATCTATATTCATCAGAGATATTGGTCTGTAGTTTTTCTTCCTTGTCATGTCCTCATACATTTTGAAGATGAGGGTGATGGAGGCTTCATAAATGAATTTGGGAGGGATCCTTTCTTTTGGATCTTTAAAAATAACTTGAGTAGAAAGTTAAACTATTCTGTAAATATTTTGTTGAATTCAGAAGTGAAGCCATCCTGAACTGGGCTTTTCTCTGTTAGGAGTGTTTTTTTAATTTAATTAATAGATTAATTAATTAATTTATTTTTATCAATGATTCACTCTCATTACTTATTATGGGTCTATTCAAGCTTTCTGTGTCATCCTGATTCAATCTTGGTAGATTATAAGTGTCCAGGAAATTATCCACTTCATCCAAGTTCTTGTTTATTGGCATATAGTTGTTCATAGAATCCTCTAATGATGTTTTGTATTTCTATTATGTCTATTGTAATATTGCCTGTTTCATTGTGAATTTGATTTATCTGGTTCTTTTCTCTCTTCTTAACTGTTTAGCTAATGGTGTGTCAATCTTGTTTATCTTTTCAAAGAACAATCTTTTGGTTTCATTTATTTTCTGTATAGTTTGTTTATTTTCTATTTTATTTACTTCTGCTTGAATCTTTATTATTTCTTATCTCCTGATATTTTTTGTATTTTTGTGTTGTTTTTCCAGTTTTCTGAGACATGATATTAGGTTGTCCATTTGTCATCTTTCCATTTGTTTCTTATGTGCACCAATTGCTATGAACTTCCCTCTTATGACTTCTTTTACTGTGTCCCATTGATTATGGAAACTCATGTACTCATTCACATAGGTTGAAATCAATCTTTTGATTTCAGTCTCAACTTTTTTCAGTAGTTGTGAAGTCAATCAGGAGTAGGTTATTTAGTTTCCATGTGTTTGTGTATTTTCATAGTTTTTTTTTCAGAAATTAATAATATGTTTAATTCCTTCATGGTCACTAAAGTTGCTAGATATAATTTATATGCCTTTGGATCTGTAAATGTAAATCTGTACCCTAATATGTGGTCAATCTTTGAAAGGTTCCATGTAGGAGTGAGAAGAAAATATACTTGGTGTTTTGGGGATGTAAAAGTTTATAGATGTCTGTCAAGTCCATTTTACTTATGATATCATTTAGATCCTGTATCTCCTATGCCTTTCTTTGTCTCTTCTCACAGTAATTGTCCAAAAGCCTATGTGGTCTGATATTAGTCTTGTGAATCAAACTCCTTTTTGGTTTCTGTTTGCAAGGAATAACTTATTCCAGCCCTTCATTTTTAGTCTATGTATGTCTTTATTCATGAGGTGTGTTTCTTGTATGCAACAGATAAATTATTTCTGTTTTTTGTTTTATTCAGCCAATCTGTGTCTCTTGATTGGAGAATTTAATCTATTAACATTCAATGTTATTATCAATATTTCTGGACTCATCCCTAAC